GGGCCGCCGGCCTCTCCTGAAGGAGCACCGCAAGGCCGCTGTCTGCGGCAGGGGGGCACCGCCACACCACAGCAGCCCAAACAGAAGGAAAAGCCAGGAGCGAGGAGAGAGCAGGAATTAAAACGCATGAGTCCTGTGCTGTGGCCCTGGGTAAGCTGAGTGCTTGGGGGCAGAGAGATTCAGATGCTGCCCAGCTGGTTAGCAGAGCACCCCCACCTGGCAGCATGTTGCTATTGGTGGTGCACATCTACATGCCTGGCGCACCGAACAAAATTTTATTCTGCACATGGATGGGAAAAAATGAGCAGGAACATGGGTCCTGCAGCTGCCTAGAGCTGGCCATGAAGAGGTGGAGGAAAGCTCCCTGGAGCCTCTGTGCTGCTGCTGTCTCTGCACAGGGACCGTTACAGCCCACTTCCCTCTAGCTGGTGGGATTATTAGTCCATCAGCCTTTATCGTGCAATGCAGAGAGACGACGCTTTCGCTTTGGTTTCCAGCCCTTCGCCGTGTCAGAGCCGTCACGTCTGCGCCGTCCTCAGCCCGCCCTTTGGGGTGCACTGGGGGGCAACACAGTGCTGAGTCCCTTAGTTTGGCTGCATGCCGCGGCTTTAGGGACCTGCCACGCTTAACCCTTGCGAGGGGCTTTAGCTGAGCTCATTTCTTTTCTCTCTGAACTTGGTGACTTCAGTGGGGGGGGCGTGGGCGGGAGCGAGACACCGCGGCCTTTCGATTTAAATGTTCTGTTACCGCTAATGCTTACACCAGTGTGCCCAGACCACGGGTTGAGTCAGAGAGTTTCCGTACGGCTGGGCACCCTGCTTGGATCATCTTCAGTGGAAAGTTTGGCTTAAAAAGGTCAGAGGATACAGATGGTGCACAGTCAGCACCGCTCCAGGGTTAGGCAAGTTAACAGGAGAATCCTAGGGCTGGAAGAGACTCAGGAGTCAGCGAGTCCAGCCCCCTGCCCAGAGCAGGACCAACCCAACTCAATCAACCCGGCCAGGGCTTTGTCAAGCTGAGACTTAAACACCTCTAGGGATGGAGACTCCACCCCCTCCCTTATTTATTAGTTCCCTAAATAGAAGAACTAGAGGACACCAAATGAAATTAATGGGGAGCAGGTTTAAAACTAATAAAAGAAAGTTCTTCTTCACACAGTGTGTAGTCAACCTGTGGAACTCCTTGCCAGAGGAGGCTGTGAAGGCTAGGACTATAACAGGGTATGTCTCCACTACCTCCTAGTTCGCACTGATTTGAATTTCCCGGGCTTCATTTGCATAAGCGGGGAGCCGCCATTTTTAAAACCCCGCTGGTTCGAACCCCGTGCAGCGCGGCTACACGGGGCTCGAACTAGGTAGTTCGGACTAGGATTCCTATTCCGAACTACCGGTACACCTCGTTCCACGAACAGGATACTGGGCTAGATGGACCTTTGGTCTGACCCAGTCCGGCCATTCTTATGTTCCCTAGGGAACCCATCCCAGTGTTTCCCCACCCGCCTAGGAAATAGCTTTTCCTAATATCCAACCCAGACCTCCCCCACTGTAACTTTAGCCCATTGCTCCTTGTTCTGCATCCGTCACCACTGAGACCAGCCTCTCTGGAGCCCCCCTGCAGGTAGTTGAAGTAGAGCTTAGATATTCGTGACTGGGTATTTGGCAGGTCTCACAGGGCGTTAGCTGTGTGCTAATGGAGCTCTACCATCTCCTAGAGCTGGAAGGGACCTGGAGAGGTCATTGAGCCCAGTCCCCTGCCCTCACAGCAGGACCAAGCACCATCCCTGACAGATTGTCCCCGATCCCTAAATGTCCCCCTCAATTGAGCTCACAACACTGGGTTTAGGAGGCCAATGCTCAAACCACTGAGCTCTCCCTCCCCTGCAGCAGGCAGCCTGTTGGTGCGTTAATTGCCACCTGCTGGAGAAAACTGCCCCTCCGGTGCTGGCCCCGTTACCTGGCACACGACGCAGGCCAGGCCCATGCACCAGCTGTTTATGCCGTGCAGGTCGCTGGGCACTGAAACGGTGCCGGTTCGCCAGGGGCAGGCTGCTGCTGCTCTGTTTATCTGCACCTCTGCAGGAACAAGCGATTGTCGCTCCCATTGGCCGCTGTTCCCGACCAATGGGAACTGCAAGAAGGGGCGTGGCCCAGAACACGGCATCCTGAAGGCGCAGGTAAGTGTAGCATAGAGACCCGCCAGGGGCTAACCCCAGGGAACTGGATCCGGCCTGTGGGCTGGTATTTGCCCCCCTTGATGCGGAGCCTGTTTGGTGGGATTCAGCCCTCCTGCAACTCAGTGGCGAGGTGCCAGCAGATGTGGCACTGGCATGTCAAAGAGGACAGCAGCAGCACCCATGGCAGGAGGCAGCATGACCTGGGGTAACAGCTCCAGCCTGGGACCCAGAGCTCTGCATCCGGTCCCCAGCTGATCTCACGTCACCTCTCTGTGTCAGTTTTCCCCATCTGTGGAATGGGGCTAACTGTCCTCGCTTCAGGGAGGGGTTTGTAAGGACAACGCTGTAGGGAGTTGAGAGGTGTCGGATCCTATGCTGAGGGGGCTTCTTCATCCCGTAGCAGCCGCAGGGCTAACCAGAACAGGGCAGCTTTGACATGTTCCTGCTCTAAACACATTTTGGCAATTAGGCTGCAAACACTCGCTGACGACCATTCTGTGCCAAGTCGTAATTGCACTGACAATTGCCTGTTTATCTGAGGAAAATTAAATTTTGTTCCAGCGTCATGTGACGGGCGAGGGAAAAGCATAGCAAAGGGGTCTTCTGAATGAGCGGAAAGGTAATTAAAGCTGCTAATTGAGATTAATTGCCCAAATCCATTAGACACATGATATTAACAGCGCTCATTTCTCTCTCAAGAGGTACGCTGAGTCCTCAGGCAGCGTGGGGATGGGAGGTGGGCAGCAAAGGGGCTGGATATATTGTAATCCCAGATGGAAATTAACTAGAACAATTTATTTCTTTGATTTTCCAGTAATCCCTAACGAGAGGCAATCAGAGGAAACCAACCCCACAGCGGGGTCCCAGTGGGCCCGATTAGTGTACCAAGCACACCCAGGACATCAATAGCCAGTGTGGTTGTGCTTGCATTTCACAAACACGAGGATGCAGGATCTGGCCCTGCACAGACAGACCTGGGCATGCGCTTTGCTCAAAGAGAAACCGCTCGTGCTCTGAGACTTCAGCACCTCTGCTGCCCAGCTGGGCTCCTGCTGCAGGCTCCAAAGCAGCCAGACGAGACTTCCCCGTGGGTGAGTTCTGCCACCCGCAGGTGCTTGCACAGATGCAGGGCAGCCTCTCGCAAACAGGGCAGTATGGAGCGGGGAGACGGGATGGGGGGGCCGCTTGGCTGGAATGGGAAAGCAGCAGCCACACACACTTGCCTCGCCTAACTCGCCCACCTCACACCCAGTGGGTAACGATACGAAAGTGAAGGGAAAACCTGATGTACGTTGCATAGCAATAATGTAGACACCCCTCCACTCCACCAGCTGGTCTTATTACCCAGAATGCACCAGGGCCATTTTGCAACATTGCTAGTGAGGGAGGATGGGAAATCCTGCCGGATACCCGCAGCGA